GCGCCGGGCCCGGGCAGACGGCCGGGGGCGTCTCTACCGAGACTCTCTGTGGCCCCTGAGCGGCGAGGGCGAAGGCGAGGCTGAGTGGGACCGAAATCATGAACCGGAGTTTTCACAAATCTCAGACCCTACGCTTCTACGACTGCAGCGCAGTGGAAGTCAAGAGCAAGGTAAAGTGCCCGAGGCCCACCGTGGCGATCTGCACCCGTTCCCCTGGCAAATGAATGGGGCACCCCGCGGAGGGAAACTGGAGCGGTGTGGGAGGCGACCGGCGTCGGCAACTTTGGAGCTTGGGCGCTGCATGCCTCTGCGCAGGGTCCGTGGGATGTGCTCCGGGACCCCGGCGGTCCTCCCTGCTCCCTGTGCGAACACAAAGCCCGGCGGCCGAGGGCCATGGGACAGTCAGTGCAGGCTCTGAACCCGCTCCACGAGAGCTGCTCTTTTGTTCCACGAACTAGAGATGACCCGGGCGCGCCACACGTTGGAGGGGAGGGCTGTGTTTCCGGGGCGATCTAGGAGCTGGGGCTGCTGGGTTTCGGGTCGTGGAAGGGTCTTTGGGGGGCCAGAATCAGGAGGGGGGCCCTGGCTGCACCGCCTGTTTGGCTGTGAGGAGCAAACTGGCGATCGGCTCCCAAATCAGGGCCCTGGCCCAGCCCCCAGTTTGGCGCTGGGTACCAGACCCGGAGCCCCAGGCGCCCTCTACCCTCAGGCCCAGACCCCTTGATCATACACCTGGCCCAGGTCCAATCTTCTTCTACCAAGCCCTGAGCACTCTTCCTACCCAGATATCTTTACCAGACACTCCCCGGGCTTAGATTCCCCCAGTTCCCTAGGGTACCGAGACTCAGAAATTCCCATCAGGGCGAACCCCCAGACCAGACTGCAATCCTCTGGGGCGCGACCCCAGCACAGACTCAGACCCCCTGGGCGCGCCCCGGCCCCTCCCGCTGCTTGTGCCTAGGCAGAGCGTGCCCGAACTTGCGGGTTGCCCTGTGTCTGGATAATTGGCTGATAGGATCTGGCGCTTCTCCCCTCTGCGGGGGCGGCTCCTTCACTGCAGACGCTTGAGTCTGGGAGGGTCTGCAGCGTGGACCCTGCGGGATGGAGAAGAAGCTACTGCTGCTCCGAGTCGGGTGGGAGAAGTTCCTAGAGCCTTTTACTGACTAGGCGATAAGTAGCCTAGTTGCTGTGGTTCTCTGTGTGAAGAAGGCGGAGCTGCTGGAATGGTCCAGGTCACCAAGGGTGAGTTTTCAGCCAATGCTTCCTATGGGCCTACGGCCTGTGATCCATTCGCCTGGTCTCCAGGGAAGTGGTGCCTCATTAGACTACTGATCAACCCCAAGGAGTGCATTAGTGTAAGGTTTTCAGGGTACCAGTAGAAGCGCGGGGAGGGGCAGTCATCACAGACCCATTGTAATGAATTGCAGGATCTCCTCATTTGGGGACTCTTACTTATAACGAGACCCTACCCTGTTTCCAAATGCTAGTTCCATGACCCTTGCCCCACACCCATCCCTTCTATTGCCCAGGGATGTTCCCAAACTCCCAAATTCATAGAGCTGGGAAGTTAGGGCCCTCCATTCAGTGGGAGGTTGAAACGATTGCCCCTTTCTTCAGCACTGCAATATGGCAGCCACTTCATTTCCTTAAACTTTTTTGAGATGGTTGTACATTCACAAGCGGATGCCAGCGAGAGACTACCAAAACCTAAGGTCACTTTGCCCAGCCTACTGTGATGTTGACCTCTTGTGTAAGTAGAAGGGATCTTGCCAGGGTTTTGCGGGCTCACTTGTGTGTGCATACAGGCACGTGCACTTGTGTGCCCGCCAGCACCGTGAAGGTTCAGAGCCACCCGTGACAGGATTCTTCCTGACCAGTGAGTGTGAGCAGATTAGTGCTAAGCACTCCGCTCTGGTGCTGCCCTCAGCAGCTGTGCGTGGTACAGCACACTGTCCAACTCCAAAGGAGGCCGTGGGACAGATCTGGAGGAAATGCCCTGCCAGGCCTTATCCTGCAGTTCTGGGCCATGGTCCATGCAGGCTGTTAGGGGAGGAGAGGCCACCTGCCTTTATTTCCTGGAATGTAAGCCCAGCCGCCTCCTCCAGCTCTGCGTAGTAGAGAAATGCCGCTCCATGCCCCGGTGTCTGCGAGCTCAGATGCTACCCCGAGTGGAATAAAGGGCAAGGCTGCAGCTTGTTTGAACTAGGGAGAGTTTGGATGCCCACGCCGATCTCGACAGCCCTGGGATGGCGGTCCCACACTCCCCTCCCCACAATTCAGCATACTCACTGCTTGTCCAGAATGTCCCATGTGGCTCTTCCTTCCATACTCCCCCACGCATCTCCCACTTTGTAGTTGATATGTTATTGTGGCATCTGTCTGCAGGGAAGGACTTTTGTCATGATGCCGGAGGCACGACCTCATGTCAGCACGGACTTCACGCAACTCAAATGTAGAACTGCGGTGCCATGGTTCTGCTTGGTGAAATGGCAGGCCCCCGGGGAGCTGAGTGCACCCAAGTTTTGCCACCTCTCCACCTTTTGGGGGTTTGGGGCAAGTCATTTAGCTTCCCTGTCTCAGTCATTTCCTCTGGAGCATGGGTGTTATATCCACACTGCTCACCTCCCGAGATGAAATGAAGCAGGGACCGTGAGGGGCATGTTGGAAACCACAGCACCGTCCACAGCATCCAGTACCACAGGTCAAGGCCTTGTAGTGCTGTCAGATGCCTGACCTGAAAATTGCCACACATCCCCCCAAAACTGTGACCCTCTGCCATCTGCCTCAGCTGGCCGGTTCCTGGGTCGGCCAGCCCTGTATGCAGAGGGCACAGGTTACGGCCTGGTTGTTGTCCCCTATTTTCTGTCCCCTTATGCGTCTCTAAAACTTTTATTCTAGCGCCTCATCTCTTCCTCTCCCGAGCCTGTGCGCTTCCGACTTCCTGCTTCTGCCTGCCCTTCTCGCTCCACTTTGACTTTTACCTCTCCTCTCGGAGACTGCAGGCAGAAGGGAGAGGGTGCTTCAGACCGAAGGAAGAAGGGCAAGCGCCTAGGCTGCTGTGAAGGTTATAGCAAGAAGGCCACTGCCATCGGGGTGGGTGTGGGGGATCAGCGGATACAGTTTTCATCCATCATGTCCTCAGAAAGCCTTTGTCTCCTTGGTATCATCCGCTTGAAAAGCCTGAAAGAAGGACTAACAGGCCCTCCTACCCCAGGAGCGTCTCAACTCCAGAATTAAATGCCTACTCTTCCAGGTTCTTTTCTACAGTACAGTGTACTTCCAGGTACAGTGTCAGTTCACACCCAGTTCATCCTGTGCCCCTAAGTAAGAGTCTGTGGTTTCCCCACCCGAGAGCCTGTGCTACACTGTCCCCCTTCTGCAGAGCCATTCTGAAGGTTCCCTCCCACACCAAACCAGGCTCACTCTGACCCTTCTCTACTCGTTTTAAGGCCTTGATCACGATGCCTGTTCTGTATTCTGCTTGGGACTGAAGGTTTCCGTCTTGTACGTGCCTCTCTAAAGAGAGTTAGCGCTGGGAGAGAGATGAATGAGGCTGGTAATTCTTTCTGCAAACGAACTTCTCTTAAACGTTAACTCCTGGCCTTCTGATGGCACATGCATGCACACATCATATTATGGCTTCTAGAATTAGGATCACAAAGATATGTTATGCAGTCTACTTCCAATATGTTATAAATATGTTCTACTTGGCAGTATGTGATAAATGTTTCTTCGTGTCATTATTGTTTTTAGAAAATTTTTTTAAAAAAACCAACTACATAATATTATTACATCTCATGTTTAAACTATAATTAATTTAACCAATATCTTGTCTGAGTATCTGCCTGTTTTTCCCATACTGAACTGTGCTATGAACCATATTGAAATATTTCTATAAAACTTATATAGAATATATAATATCAGGCAAATGAAAGTTGTTGGATTATTAAATTAGCACAGAACTCTGTGTAGTCAGAACTACTTGAGAGAAAGATGAGTATATTTTTACGACTTTGAATACATAGTTAGTAAATGTTTAGGCAGATGAGATACTTGCCGAGCAAGCCTGACCTCCCGCATTTGATCCTCAGAATCCACGTAAAGGCAGAAACAGAGAACCGACTCCACGCACACACACCATGGCATGCACACCACACGCACTCTCACACATACACGTCATGCACAGGCACTAACTTTTTTAAAGTAAATGTTCAGCTGTTCTATATACGCTGTTTGTTTAACATCAATCCATTCCTTTTCTTTCTCCCTCCTTCAAACTCTGAGCACTCTCTCCTCCCTTCTTGATTGTGTAAGTGAGGTAGTACCCTATTGTTTTAATTTGTATATTTCTTGAGATATCGGTGAGCTGGAAACTCACATGCGCTAGCATGCTCTCTGTCCATCTTGTTTTAGCCACCTGGTTTCATCCTGTATCTTCTTCCCATTTTCTTGGTGTTGACTTTTCGGAGCTGCTTGTCTGTAGAGGGTCCCACCAGAGCAGGTGAGACTGATCCTGAGGTTCTGAGTGGAGCTGGTGTCCTTTCCCTAGGATAAGCCTAGCTCAGACATTAGCCTGGGCCCCTGGGAGGGTGTGTGTGTGTGTGTGTGTGTGCGTGCGTGCGTGTGTGTGTGTGCGTGCGTGCGTGTGTGCGTGCGTGCGTGTGTGTGTGTGTGTGTGTGTAGCACCCTGATGGCCTGGATGGTCATGTACTGGCTGGCTAAGTTCTGCTGTGGACAGCTGGGCACACAGTGTTTTCTGTCAGCATGTCTCCTCTGATCCCCAAGATCTTATCTCTGGCTGAGCGTGTTGGCTGCCATGGCCCTGCAGGGACCCACCCTTCCATCTGGCATGAGACAGCAGGTGGGGATGGAACCTGGGCCAGGCCTCCGTGTTGGATGGCGGAGGACTTGCCTCCTGTGGGCCAGTTGAGAACTGCCTGGACACGGTTTGACTCACCTGTATGTCAGCTACACCCTTTTGAGACTCTGGTTTGTTGTATTTGCACGTATGTGTTTCAACAGGTTCTGGGACTTGGATTGAGAAGTTGCGTTCAGAAGCGGCTCTTGACAGGGACCCAAGTGGGATGTTTTTTTGGGGAGCATGGATGGTGTCACTGTTCCCAGGTTTCCCACATCTTCTGGGTGCGTGGCCGGGGGCTACTTTATCTTC